ATTTGATAATATTTTTCCAACTATTTGGAATGGCTGCATTTAATTTTGTATGCTCAATTAAAGCGTTGTGTGTTTTAGAGAGATGGAATTATTTCGTTCACCTGCTTAATTCTATCATTTACAATGATGTCGCCTACATTTTGTATATTTGACTCAATCCAAAATTTATTAAAAAGAGATTTATTGTTTACAGTAATATTCTTATTTTCCCAAATTCGTTGTAGTTTTACCTCACATATGCAATGCGGTTGGAGTTCTTGTATGTTATTATAACGGATACACGTATCAATAAAAATCTTATAGAATATTGGTAATTTATTCAATGAAGCATGTTCCTCTAACCTTTGACATACATATTGTATACTCAATAGGATGCATATAAAATAATGGAATACATTTCTATTTGCCTGGATCAGGACTTAATAGCCTTTTTATCCAACTTAGCTGAAGTGAGTCAACCAACGAGTTAACATCTATCATTTTCAATCCTCCTAGATTAATGTCTTGAACTATTATATTTCTCTTTATTTTATCTTTTTTCCCATTCCATAAGAAATTATATAGAATATTATTTATTTTGGGAATAATATCTTTTGGAACATCAATAATGCTAGCGTTATATATTAGCTTTGAAATAGCAAGCGTTTTAATTATAGTTATTTTCCCAAAAAAAGTTCTTTTTCCCATAATCTTAAGGTGCGCTCTAAACATGCTACCTTATCATACCAATTTCTTTTTATACAAGTAACTTTATCGTAGCCCACAAAAATACCAAGACATTCAACAGGTTTTTTAACAAAATTGATATCACATGTACTGTTGGATTTATTCTTATTAGGACCAATCCACATGCCTTTGGTTTTTCCCTTATTTAGTTTGAGACCCGAAACGTTGCAAAAACACTCTATTTAATTGAAAAAATGATTAATACTCGGTTTATTTTTTGCGAAGATTACCGTATCGTCTGCTAACACTGAAATTTTAACGGATTTTTTTTTCTTCACTTATTGACGGAAGTTTGATGCCTTCGCAAAGTGGATTGCTTCTAATGTTACATGCCATTATTTCTACCACAAGAATAAACAATAATGCTGAAAGTGGACATCCCTGACGGATCCCAGAATTCATGACAAAATTTGGAGACATCCAACCATTATTAACGGTAAAACTTTCTGTATCGGTGTACAAAACTTTAACCCAATGCAAGAACTCCACTCCAAAACCAAAGCATTCTATTGCTTTTAACATGAATATTCTATCTATTGAGTCGAATGCCTTTTGAAAATCAATAAAAATTAAGGCGCCCTCAATATTATTATTATCAGAGTACTCTAATAAATCATCAATTAATCTTATACTTTCTCCTCCAAACCTACCATGAATATATCCTTTTTGGTCATTGTTGACTATAGAATCAATTACGGATTGCACTCTATAGGCAAGCACATAGGCTGCAATCTTGTAGTCAACGTTTAGAAGAGTTATTGGCCTCCAGTTTTCAAGGTTTTCACGTTCACCTTTTTTGTACAATAGTGAAATTATACCTCTACGTTGCGAAGTGCTTAGTTTGTTATGAGCATTGCTAAAATTGATTGCATCACATACCATGTTTCCAATATTAGGCCAGAAAGTGCGGTAAAATTCTAGAGTAAGACCATCTGAACCCGGACTTTTGTTGAGCCTCATTTTGAAAATGGCATCTTTACATTCGTCATACATTAGCAGGCCTTCACACTTATCCTTACTTTCATTAGACAATTTTGGTATGTCTGATTTTTCAACATATTTATTGATGCATTCCTTTTTTTATTTATTTTTTATATAATTTTTTTATAAAATAGCATTTGCTCATTAAGAATTTCATCCTCATCTGAAGTATATTTTCCATTATGTTTAAGAACAGAAGTAATGTGTTTTCTTTTTGCGTTGCTTTTTTCTAACCCAATAAAAAACTTCGTATTTTTTCACCCTTTTCAAACCATTCAATGCGTGATCTAATTTGCGCTCCATTTGCTTCAAAAGTGTAAATTTCATCTAATTCATCTTTTTTATTTTAACTTATTATCTGCTTCCTCGCTATACATAATATCAAAAGTGTTTGTCAAATCAGTGATTTCGTTCATTAAGTTTTCTTTAAGTAATTTTCGTTGCTTTGCTTTTCCCGAACAATATCCAATTGAAAATTCTTTAATTTTAATTTTTAGGTATTCCCACAAATCCGCAGGAGTAAGGCCATATTCATTTTTTTAAACGCTTTCAATAATTTTTACAGTTTTTTTGACATATACTTCATCATGTAAAACACTATTATTTAATTTCCATGTACCAGGTCCTCTTTTCATCTCGGTATTACAGATTTTAAGCGAAATTGCTTGGTGGTCTGAAAATATGCATGGTCTAATGTCAGTTTGTACAATTTCTCCATTCTTGTGTAGAGCATTTGAAACACACCAAAAATCTAATCTTCGGTACGTGTTTTTCCTTCTCCACGTGAATTGTGTTTTACATTTATTACGAAGCCTCCATATGTCAATAAGTTTGTGTTTACTCATACACAATTTTAACACTGAGGGTGAGTTGTCATAGGTATTTACACTGTTTAAAAAAACAAAACGCAATTCATATCTCCTCCCATTATTATGTATTCGTCTTTGTTACAAAGAGACTCAATTTTTTTATCAATTCTTTTGAAGAAAATTTTCCTTTCCTTATAATTATTAGGTGCGTACGGTATATGTTTATCAAGTTAAATTTATTGTTTTTATATTTTAAAAATATGATTAAAATTCTACCCTCTTCATCTATATATTTGCTTTTTAAATCCTCTACATATAGACCAGACTTACATACGATTGAAACTCCTCGACTTTGTCGTACCAAAACTGTGAAATGTTTCGCCCTTCCACAATGCATCATATGCGTATATAGACTTTCTATCAAAATGGGTTTCTTGTAAGAAAATTATGTCTGCTCTTTGTTCCTCAAACCATTTACTTAATTTTCTCATTTTAATACCGTCTCTAAAGCTACGTTCACATCAAGCCCGGATTTCGGTCCGGAGTCCGGAGAAAAAATCGTGAGAAATGGCTTTAGTGGTAAGGAATAGAAGCGTTCACATCTACACAGTCCGATTTTTTCCCCGGACTCCGGATTCGGAGCAATGGATCAGAAAGCCATTGGAAACGTGAATCCGAACGGATTTTTATTTCTGACCAATCAGCGATAAGCGTGAATGACCCCAACGCTAGCTCTGAACTGAAACAGCTCGAAAAAAGTCACCGCGAGAAAAGATACTGTGTGCCGTGCCGGGATTTGTTTTTGCTTTTTATTTTTATGCTGTATTTTAGGCGTAACTTGCATCACACATCAAACAACATATTAACTAAAAAAGATAAGTATATTTCTAGTTTTCTTATTAAAAATAAAGTTAAATGAACTTCTCTCAGCTCTCTACTCTAGCCTAGGCCATGTAGGCCTAGAGCGTTTATCCGGCCCAGCCTAGGGGCCCTACTAGACTAGTTTAGCTAGTAAAAAAACACGACAGCAGCAGTTGCTAGCCAAGTTGCGCATTTCCTGCAGACAGACAACAGACCCCACGGCACTAGCCTAGGCTTGATTCCTAGTGATAGTTGAGGGGTGAGGTGAGGGCCTATCGTCTGTCTGTGGGGCCGGAACACGCACGCACGGCCTTTTTTTAATCAATACATATTTATTCAACATATATTTTTATTTCAAATGGTTGTTTTTCCATCGTTTTTCCCTTGAAAAGCTCAGGATTTCTTGCAAATATATATGTTTACTGGTACAACAAAAACATACTTTAAAAAAAATATAAATTTGATCGCATTATGACTTTTTATGTGTCCCTAACCATTGATTTACTAGAGAACATCGGTAAATTAGGGGCAGTTTGCAAAAAAAAACAAAAAAAAAACAAATTAAAACTTTGATTTGATAGGGGATAATTTTTTTATGGGGCCTAACCTGGCAGATAAACACTACAACAAGGATACCAGCCGGGAAAAAATGATGTGTGGGAGGGAAATATATAATGCTTATATCAGGCGTAGCCTGAGATTTAACTTGGCCTGGTCATTACTAGGCTCTATGAAAGGAACATGTTTTGGCAGTCTACTCTCAATGTATCATCATAAAAATTATAAATAGTGTAGCCTAATACTGTATAACAAATTGTAGTTATTGAAACAGTGGATGAACAATGCAAATTATAAATTACATACCCAAATTATTTATACAAGTAACAATAATTGATAAAATTAATAATTTTATTTTACTTATCATTGTTTAGCCAGTTCATAGTTTGCTGAAAAATTTATACTGACTAGTAATATAATTCACACAAGAGCAGTACAATATTTTAGCAATTAAAAAAAAACAGACTCAAACTCATTGAAAAACTGAAAGAGAAACAATGAATTATTTTGTTGAGAACTAATAATTAATTATAAAAACTGTATAGGCATACAAACTTTATGACTATGTGATGCAGTATTTGAAAAATATTTTATTGTATTACAATTTACTATAAGCAGAATTTTTTTAAATTTTGTTTCAGAAGTACTGAAAACTTATCTATAGATGATGAAACAATGCGAACACCTACTGCATAGCATTGAAGTCGTAGTAGTTGCTGATAAAGTAGAGGGAACCCCACAAAAGAGAAAAATTCCCCCAAGTATACAACTAAAAAAGAAAATGGTGAAAACCAAATATGTGAATTCTAAAATAGTGAAGTATTTGACAGCAAAGAAGGAAAAAAACTTCCCAAGGCCAAACAAGTCCAAATCAAAAATGTAATATTTCATTTCTTGGGTACGAGCGCCAAGGATATGCCAATAAGTGAACTTAATCGCTATCCTACATGGCATAACCATTAAACGACCGGACTGAATGAAGCAGTACACCGGGGTAACCCCTACTGTTCTCTGAGGATGTACTGAGTTCTTTAAAGTGCACACGAGCCAAATGTGTATGTCGGGCCTATGCTTTAAAGTCCTTATCCGAGAAGACTTGTTCCACCACCGGAACCATTGGCTTGAATAATAATATATGGATTATAATATTTTAATTACATTATTTATATATGGTTAGTTAAACCTTGTGAACATTATTAATTAGTGGTCAATATTAATATTAAAACAATATTTCCAAATTTGAATTCCACATAGTTTGCTAACGTCGGTAAGTTTCAAATAATATCTGGTTTAACCACGAGAACAATTTGTATATAAATGTGAAATTGTTAATAAATACAAAAATATGTTGTACAATGTCAAAATTGTTGTTTGTATGCTTACTCTGATTTTGATTTAGTTATTTTAATTAAAAATGTACTGTTCCTCACAAATAGTTGCACTTTTAATTTGAATTGCTTATTTATAATGATCACAAAAGTTAAGAACTGTCAATAAGAAAGGTTGCAAAAATAAATTAGTTTTTGCAGACATTAATGACACATGTATATCAAAATTGTATTATGATTCAAATGAGCACTTTCTTTTCAGAATGTTTCCTAATTTCTTAGGGACAGTATATACTCCTTTTTTTCTTTCATGACTGCCTTGTAAAAAATACCAACTTTCACAAAAATTTCAACTATTTCCCCCAAAAAATTAGTGGTATGCTATAAATACTGTTATAACAAAATTTCTGGTAAGCTTATAGTTCATGATAGTCAACATAAAGTAGTTTTGATAGGACTAAAGTGTTTTGGGGAGGGGCTGAGTGAGATAAGGATAACTGTGGCACGCATAGCCATCTGAGGGCCTTCCGACCAAGCCAGGTGGATGGTTTGGGAGGGGTATCCTAATGAGATTTTTTTTTTCAAATAGGACCTCTGGATATCCAGAAATGGCGCTCTCTTAGACTGGAAAAATACACTTAAGTATTTGATAAAGTACAATTAAGATCTATAAACTCTTCTCACGTTTTTTCTTTCTTTTCCTGATAGCTGAAATACCTGGTGATCTGTGATTGCATTTTCAGTACAATCGACAATTTTAACCCTCTCTCAGCTCTAAAGAATCGGGAGCATTTGAAGGATTAGCGGGTTTATTTAACTCAAGAATCCCCATTATATCTCTTGTTTTGTCAGTTACCGGCATTTGATCACCACGCACATTTTCGATGATCTGTCCTTCTGGTTTTAATTCTTCTGTATCCTCATTTTCTGCACCATCTATTTCAATAAGATCATTGTTGTTATCAGTAGCTAAATCACAGTCATCAACATGACTGTCGATTTTTGTCCCTTAAATCCATTACCGAGAGACAATTTCTTGCGATATGCCCTAATTGGTTGAAAATGTGGCATTTGATTTTACTCAATTTTTGGGGACATTCTATAGCTCTATGCCCTGGTTGACTGCATTCGAAACATTTATTTGGATCAAGTTGGTTCTTGTGGAATAATCTTGCATTGGAATTGTTTATTTTACAGAATCTTGGCAGACTGTCCTTGAACGGTTCAACAAAAAAGCCCGGTCTCCATTTAAAAAGCGGGATAGGTTTCCGTTAATACGGAATTTAATATATTGTGTTTCTCCCACAATTTTGCAGCCAAGTTTTTTAAGTACATCAGTGATTTCTTCATTCCTAACCGATAACGGTATATCTTTAACTAATACACGAGTTGCATTTTCTCTGCTAATGTAGGGATTTGTATCATAAACATTTACATGTTTACCTCTTAGGTTTATCCCTGATATTATTAACTTAACTCGATCGGCATGGTCATTGATATAGATCCTCCATAGGTTTGACTTTCTGTGCTCCTACCAGAGAGTCACAGTTTATAATTTCATTTAAAGCGAAGTAGATTTCTTCCTCCTTTATATATTCCTCTTCTTTTTTCGAATGTCATCATCTTTGACAAAAACCGGTTTAAGGTTTTAAGGAGTTATGTTCAGGAGTTGCCATGGCAACAAGTGGTTTAGACAAGCGCTTTTGAAATTGTGTTCAGTGGAGCGTATCCTTTGCGGTAGACTAATTAGGCCGCTGCTAATAGACAATAACTCAAGGATGAGCGCTTTTGGACGGTTGATCACAATTAGTATAAACCGTCACCACTGGCCTATAACAAAACTTTTTGAATACTATGAATTTAAGTGTGATACACTAAAATCATAGGTTCGTAAAGAGTTACGAAATACTCACAAACAGTATTACTTTACTGGATTACTATATTTCGAGCCGCAAAGTTAACGTTGGTTTTAAAGAATATAGTTATGTTATTATATACATATTTGTTACTTTATAGATGTGGTTTGGCGCAGTAGCAACGGCTTGCTTTCCCTACCTCGAGGTCAGGGTTCAATCCCCTCGCTGTGCATTTCACTTGTTTCATTGGGCAATGCACTTTATCTCCATCGCTTCTCTGCACCCAGGAGTATAAATGGGTACTTGGCAGGGTTAAATGCCAAAATGCGCTGATGCAGCTACTGCAAATTTATGGAATACTCTCCCAGGGAGCTTGAGTTTGTGTTATTAGGATGTTCCAAAATTATAATATTGTTGTTGTTGTTATTGTTGTTATTATTATTGTTATTATTATTGGTGTTATTATTGTATTGAGCCTTCTGAATAATCAAATAGGATACATCTTTTTACCTAAATGGCCACAGCGGTCCATGCTTCGCTTCTATCTCAGTATAGGGTCGGCAGCCATAGGGGCGAGCGACTTTCTTGCTACGTTACTGCTATGATTTGCTTCTTGTATATTTTGTCTAATTTCTGGTCTTTTATTGTATATTAGATTGAGCTTTTGGAATTTATAAACTCGGTGTACTTAACAACGGATGACATAGAATTGTATGATAATGTTCATTTTCAAGAGGAAGTCAGTTTTCAGAATTTGACCATCCTAAATGAGTATATAGATACAACAAACATCTCAAAATTCAGACAGATTGTGAAAACATACGGCGAAGTCATTATAGGAGGTTTGTAGGTCACACCTATTATTTTAAATGCTATATTTCAATAGGCATACTCCCTAGAAAATGCTATACGACTAAGTCGTAACATAATTATTTGCCTTTCCTTATTTTATTTGTTTCACAGCAACTCAAAATCTCCTAAATACGATTCAAGTTGATGGGGATATTTTTTTGTCAAACAAATTGAATGGCATTGATATTTCGGAAGATTTAGTTCTGACAACTGGAGACCAAGTAGTTTACAGTAATATCTTTATAAAAAATGATGTGATATTCAAAGGCAATGTTACAGTAAATGAAACATTAAACAATGTTCGCCCGGAACACTTCCTCCTCCTTGATGAAGACCAGGAAATCACAGGTAAAATAATTGTGTGTAACAACTTATTTCTAGGTTCTATTAATGCTAGCCTTTGTGTTCTGTTTGAAATGTGTTATATTTCCACCGTTATATATTCAGCTGTGATACAAATCTTGACATTTTGGCATGGTATGTTTAAAGACCAAACTTGATCACGGCTCGTGTTATATGGAATTATTTCAATGATTTTTGAGTATGGAATTATTTTAATAATTTTTGTGTTGTGTGTTTATTTAGGAACCATAAACTTTGCCAACGGGTTTTATGTGGACGGCGATATCACCTTGGCTAATGGAAGTACAATCAATGGTATAGATTTGGGCGAGCTGTACAAGAGAGTAGTAATGATTGATGAAAATGCAGAAATCACAGCGAAGAAGTATTTTGTCGACACCCTCACATGTAAGGATAAAAAACGTTGTTACTACTACGATTTTATGGTTTTTTCTATGATTATGACGCCATTTGCATTTGTCAAAATAGTTTATCATATACACGATAAATCGTTATCGAATCGTCCTAGTGTACAAACTTCTCTTATTTCTTATATTTTCTCTATGAACAATTGCTTTTTAGCTTTTTATCGTTATCGTTGTTGTTGCAAGTACAAACAGGCCTTTGCATGCTAGGGATACTTGTAGTTATATTAATATATTTCTATGGATATAAATTTCAAAATAAAGAGATGAAAATAAAATAATTTATTTTTTTAAACAAATTTACAGTTAGTAGTTCTCTAACAGTCGAGGGGCTTATCAATGGCGTCAACATAACAACTTTGAACGAAGAGGCACTGTACGTTACTGATAACATAACTTTCACGTCAGATGTCAACTTTAAGGGCGACATCCACGTGCTCGGTGGCGTAAGTTTAGAGGGAACCATTGATAATCGAAGACTGGAGGACTTCGTAGCGCTCAAAACTCCGCAAAATATTACCGGTGAGTAAACCATTTAAAATATATAGCGCCGTAAATTAATAAAAAAAAAAAAAAGAGAGTATAAATGTCACCTTATAAAATATTCTGAAGGTATGGCAGTGTACAGTTTAGCGACTGCTGGTATAGTCTAAATGGGTTTTGTTTGTATTTATCTTAGCTTAAGATCATTCTTACAATGTTTGGACATTGATTGTGTTGCTCTGTATATTGATTACTGAGCAACAAAATCAATCAGTTTTTGAATACTTTTACTATGACTATAAAACACATTTGTATCATCAGCATACATTATATCAATGTTTACAAGCAAGATTAATATCATTGATAAATAATAGGGATCCCAATATGGATCCTTGAGGAACTCCAGTATTAATAACTTTTTTTATTTGAGACTTCATTACCAACAGATGTATATTGCTGTCAATTTATTAAGTAATCTGAAAACAATTTAGTGGGATTCCTCTTATTTAACAATATATCATGATCGATGGTATCAAACGCTTTTGATAAATAAAAAAAAAACGCCTAGAGTAACCTCTTTATTGTCAATAGCATTAGTAATCTTTTCAATGGATTGGAGTAAGGCATGGCTAGTTGAATGATTTTGTCTAAACCCATACTGTGCTGAGCATATGATATTAAATTCCGAGAGATAACAAAGTGTTTGATCATAGACAATTCGCTCAAAAATTTTTGAGAAAAATGGTAAAATGGAAATTGGCCTATAATTATTTATATCGATAGTATCTCCCTTTTTAAATACTGGGATGACTTTTGCAATCTTAAGACCAATTGGAACACATCCAGATGATAAAGAGGTATTAATAATATGTTAGAGGTTTCGATATGACTTGGGAAGCTGCTTTCATAATTCTAGCGCTAATATCATCGTGGCCAGGAGTTGTGTTCCTAGTATTTTTGATATAAACGCCAGTTTATAGTGTACTGCAAAATATTTTTACACGTCTGTATTTCAGGGATTATGTCTTTCAATGATTCAGTGCATATAAATGGTAGCTTGACTTTTGACGATGGCATCACTATCGATGAGGTCGATCTCTCTGAATTCTCTGCTAATGTAAGTATTTCTTATATTGTAACGTTCCGTCTTGTTGGCAGTACAACATTACCACCATCGAATGCTAGTTCAAACAGATTAGTATTTATATAGCACTGCTGCATAACAAATAACAGCCCAAGAATCTTATTTTATTAATCCCAAGAAACTATATTTGCTTTAAATAAACTCACGGCATATCTATACTTAAAGTTTTTGTTACTTTTACTTGTAATTTGAAGAGTTAATAATGGTTAAAGGTAAGAGAATTGCGTATGGGCGTGGTCCGTGACTATCTAGCCGCAGTAAGGAAGCGCTTATTGTAACTTCGTGTTCACATCATTCCACAACGACAGGGGCTAAAATGAACCATAGCATCAGAGTAACCCCCCTAGTCTTCCGAAAGATGTGTACTCTGGACCTCCATTTTAAGTCCTTGACCGAGGAGACTTGGTTCGACCAATCAAAACCTGGGCGAGGACCGGCTCGAAACCAGCACCAATGTTAAGGCAGTAGTTAACGGCGCCCTTGCCTTACCGCTCGGCCACATAGAATATCAGTATCATTTTATCTGTATTACTTAATTTTGCAGGTTTTAAAAAACAATGGTAACCAGACATTATTTGGAAATTTAGAAATCATCGGAAACGTAACGGTTAACAATAATATGCACGTTAATGGTACTGTTAATGGGTTTGATATCTCCGAAGATTTTGTAACGTTGCATGGTGAACAAATTTTGTATGGTTAGTATAACATTTTCCAAGAAAACATTTTAAAACTTACATAGAACAGTGATATATATTAGCACTGTTAATGTTTATTTTGTGTATTATATGCCTATATATAATTGGACCCCATCTCATCCAGGTCGATCCGGCACCAGGACGATTCTATGTCCTACCCAAAATCCACAAAGCAGGCCATCCTGGCAGACCCATTATTTCGGGCAACGGTACTGCTACAGAAAAAATCTCTGAATATGTGGATGACTTATTGAGACCACATGTTGTTGCTCTCCCCTCGTACATTCAGGACTCCACGGACTTTATCCGCAAAATTAACCAAATTTCAAATTTACCTAATAATACTGTTCTGGCTACACTTGATGTTTCGTCATTATACACTAATATCCCTCATGAAGAAGGTGTTAATGCGTGCATTTCAAATTACAAGCAAATTCGGGG